CTGATCACAACACCGATAGACACACTGCCAGCCGATACGGCCATACGTCAGGTGTGGGTAGTATTCAGTATATGTCTCCCGAAGTGATTCATTGTCGCGAATATAACCACAAATCAGACATTTATAGCCTCTGTATAATCGGTGAAGAGATGTTTGGTATCGATGTTCAGGCGTAATAAACATTGATTTTTATCATTATTTTAATAAATATTATAATTATTACATTTTGTATTTTCTATGGATTTATAGCTCGCAATCATTTGAAGCAAAGGACTCACTGTTTAAGTCATGTATACTATGTTTGTCTCAAATACTCTTAAAAATGATGAAAACACCGAAATGGAGAAAAAGACCCGAATGTCGGGAAGTGTTGGCCAAACATAACGAGTGGTCCATTGATAAGAGTGTTATCACTCATCACAAGGAGTTTAATGAAGTGTTAAATAAACTTAAATCCAATAATAACTCAGTTTTCTATGAGATTTTGTTTCGCAAAACCAAAGAATAATGTATTTTCTCAATAGATGTGATTTTAATTTGAATAAAGTGTTTATAATTGTAATCATGGTTTAGATGACGCAAGGTAAAAATAACACAATAAGTTCAATCTATAGCGTCGGTAAATTACAACATACTTATACTAATACTGTACATATTAAATTTGTTAAAAATAATTAATAGCCAGTAATAAACTAATCAAATTAACAATTAAAATTAAAAAGAATATTAAGCTAATTATTTGTTGTAAAAACCCTTATTACAAGGTTAGTTTTATTTTCTCAAATATAAAATACAGTAAAGTATTAGTTTTGGTATCGCTTTAACCGCCACTACTGTTCGCAATCTATTGGGCACTAAAACACTGACACAAATACTGGCCGAGTGTTCGCTCATTAACAACGTTCGGATAGTTAGTGTTTATTACTCAAAACATTATGGTTTATTAAATTAAATTAATGATTTAAAGATGATCACTCTACTTGTCATGATATTACCTGGATTGTCGTTTTCTATTAAAAATATTATTGCTATATTTTTTTCAAAATTAATTACCTGCATGTAATCCAATTAAACATTCATTTAAAATACTCGTGGTCAACCAAGTTCCTTTTGGGAACTTGGAGTAGAAAAGCCAATTGTCATAAACAACATTAAAATTATGTTTTAAAGTTTGGATTAAAAATTATTAATCATTTGAATGAATGAACATATTATACACAGAGGGTTGATAAAATTGTTGATAATCGCAAACAATATCAGAAATCTCATTAAAATGTGTATTTAATAATTAAAGAAGCATCGGCAAATCCGCCTACGCTTGCACCCGGGATTTGACAATATAAAACGAAAGTACTGTCTTTAAGGAGTCGAATGATATAATCCATATG